TGACTTGATGGAGAAGAAGGGACTTGCGTTAGAGAACACTAGAATCCGGAAGACATCCCCCGGTGATTTTGAGCTTTTGATCGCATCTGGTGTGTCGTCGCCTCCTGTGAAGGACCGGGATCTCGGCGATGTAGATACATTTGAGCTTGACGGAGACTTGGAGGGAAAGACGGTGCGTCTTGTCTTCGGTGACCATCAGGAGGAGATGGCAAAGATCGCGCACAGCATCAAGCAGGCGGGGCTTGCTGCTGCAAATGAGAATCAGAAAAAGATGTTGGATTCATATGCTCTCTCATTTGGAGCTGGATCAATCGAAGCTTTCAAGGAGAGCCAGCGCGTTTGGGTTAAGGACCAAAAGCCTGTCCTCGAGACAAACCTGGGCTTTGTTGAAACATACAGAGACCCCCATGGTGTGCGCGGCGAATGGGAAGGCTTCGTTGCGTTGGTATGACACGTGCTGGATTTATGTTTACTACCATTGCTAACATTTCCAGGTCAATCTGGAGCGCACCCGAGCCTTTGGTACGCTGGTTGACAGTGCCGAGAGCATGATTCCCAAGCTGCCGTGGGGTAAAGACTTTGAGAAAGACAAGTTCCTCAGCCCCGACTTCACATCATTGGAGGTCTTGAGTTTTGCCTGCTCGGGTCTCCCAGCTGGCATTAATCTACCCAACTATGATGACATTCGCCAGAACCTTGGCTTCAAGAACGTGTCTCTGGGCAATGTTCTCAGCGCCAAGGCTCCCAACGAGGCTATTCCTTTCATAGCTGAGAGTGACCAGGAAGTCTTCCGCGCATTCCGGGACCCGGCCTTTGAGGTCCAGGTCGGCATCCACGAATTGCTGGGCCATGGAACTGGTAAGCTGTTGCAGGAGACAGCGCCAGGGAAGTACAACTTTGACATTGAGAACCCACCCATCAGCCCCGTCACCAATAAGCCCGTGTCGACCTGGTACAAGCCTGGACAGACATGGAGCTCGGTATTTGGTTCAATTGCTTCGTCATATGAGGAGTGCCGTGCTGAGTGCGTGGCGATGGTTCTTGGCTGCGACTTTGGCATCTTGAAGATCTTTGGATTCGGCGATGGCAAGGAAGACTTGGCCGGTGAGGCCGGCGACGTCCTGTTCGTAGCCTACCTTTCCATGGCTCGCGCAGGTTTGGTTGCCCTCGAGTTCTGGGATCCGAAGACCCAGAAATGGGGTCAGGCACACATGCAGGCTCGGTATAGTATTCTGCGCACCTTCCTCGATGCCGGTGATGACTTCGTCAAGTTGTCTTACAGCAAGGAGGATCTCTCTGATCTGGAGATCCATCTTGACCGGTCCAAGATTTTGACTCACGGACGTCCCGCCGTGGAGAAGTACCTCCAGAAGCTGCATGTTTACAAGAGTACCGCAGATGTTGAGGCTGGTAAGGGCTTGTACGACGATATTACCTCTGTTGATAGTTGGTGGGGAACCAGCGTCCGTGAGGTTGTTTTGAAGAACAAGGTCCCACGTAAGGTCTTTGTACAGGCCAATACTATTCTCGAGGGCGACCTGGTCAGCTTGAAGGAGTATGAACCGACTCTCGAGGGTCTGATTCAGAGCTTTGCGGAGCGTAACGTCTGATACGACGTATATATATAAAAATATTGAAGTATTGAGGTATACAAATGAAATGCATATATAGTGCATATTTCTTTCCATGGAAGTCGCTGCATTTACATATAAATAACCACCCTTTTGATGTCTCCTCAGAGGCGTCTGAACGATGACTTTTGTTGTCATTGTGAGTATCCCTATTCCACCCAAACTACTCCGTACCAACAGTTGGATCATAATTTCTCTACCAAGTTACATTTGATTCATTTGCGAGATATCATGGTCCAAGACTATGTATGTGGCGGAGGTATATTCCAAGGTTATACACCGGACTATGAAAATGATACCTAGTATTCGATTTTAATAACGAGTATTCCAGGAAAATTAGAAAGGAATAGTTCCTATACGTACGATCCTCTTGAATTTTTCTGAAGTTAGAAACCAAAATCAAAATATGCTCAAAAGCATGGAATGAAATGAGAGATCAAGAGTAGGCGGTTTTGTGGGGGACCGGCTGGAAATACATATGTAGGTCCAAGTATATGGGCATACCTAAGGTTACCATGACTTCGCTAAGCACGTCTAATATCCATAGGTCATCCCACAATCATATTCGTCTCTAGAAATAAGAGCTCCAAATCAAATCCAAAACTAAAGCCAAACTAAAGCGAAAAGACAAGAGGACACGGCACGTGCCAAGCTCTCGATGGCCAGTGAGGCGCTCGGACTTACCGCCGTCCCAAGTTGATCTACCCGTCTTCCCCAACCTCTAAGCGCTCTCTTTCTCCAACACTCAATCACTGCGAATCTAGCAGAAGCGTATATCTGTTCTACTCGTTTTGGAAACAAAGATTCTTTCATCCCGGTGCTGAAAGTCAGTCATTGAATTGGAAAACTGCCAAAACTCTCGAACACAGCGACTTGGACGAGACTCGACCCAGATCAGTCGCATTGCTAGACTAAGTCAGCATTTGATCATTTCCTTGCGCATATCAACCTGTCTGACGTGATTCAGGCAATAATAGAAACCACGGTGTCGCGAGAAACGCCGTCGGACCCATCAACCACGGCGTGCCCGCCCCATCCAACGGACTCCCTAGAGGAGGACGACGATTATTACACTGCACCTCCACCGCACTCCCCAGCATCAGCATCGAGTTCTTCACCCGCATATCCTCCTCCATTTTCGTCTCTTATCTTCTCATCATTGCCCGACACCAATCGCCCATATAAAGTTACTGAACCTGGACCAGCTTGTCCTCCAGCCTTAGCGCCTCCAGCGCCTGTCGAGGAGTCGCTTGAGCCGGCCCCATCTTCGGCAGTTGTTGCTGACACAAAAGCGTCTTTCACTGAACCAAAAAACGAGGGCTCATCCGACGACGGTGAACCACCACCGCCATACACAGAAGGCTATAGTCCACTTGAGTCATTCACCTACGTGATGGCTGCTGCAGGAGGTGCCTCCAGTATCATAACCCAGGTCCAGCAGACCGGGGGCCCGCCAATTAACACTCTTGGTGGTATATTTGATACCCAAGTCTGCTTGGTATGCTTTGCGCTAACATGATATGATAGATATCGGCGGAGATGAACACGTCGGTCTCGACCTTCGGTAAGATCACGCATTGATTCATATCTCAATTATAAATAGTCTAACGAGTTGATAGTGGTACGCGGTTTACCCTTTCGCGAGATGAGCTGTTGACTTTGCCTGAATTCGTTCTGCTCTCTCTCTTCCCCAATGGCCTCCTCCCAGATGGACATGCCACGAATGGGTTCCATGACGGGGATGTATTCCCGGTTGATGTACGCAAATCCCTATCTAAAGTATCAAAGTCTTTCTGACAGCTATTATCCAGTATGACCCGGTCTCACTTCAGTACATGCTGGATTTCTTCCGAACTGTTGCCCAAACCATCCCTTCATCTCTGCCTTCCGGATCAAACTCACCAGACATGGAAATGTCCGACCCGATGCAGGGCTCAGCCCGTGACATGCTCCAGGACCGTGCTGGCATCATTGTCCTCCGAGAGGACCTTGACTTTTATGTCATCCCCCCTCATGCCAACATTGGGCACGATGAAATGCTTGACGTCAAGCGGGCAGCGGGTAGGTCGCTGTTAAAACAGGACGGCATCTTTTCTGGACTCCGCAAGAGCGAGGAGATTGGGTCAACTGAGCAGCATCTTATTGAAATGCTGACAGCCGGGTGAGTAGAACTCGAGATTTCAGTCACGGGCCAATGCTAATATGCAATGCAGAGGATTTGACCGTGCTGACCAGTGGGGTCACCGTGCCCCAGAGCCTAACAAGGCAGTAATCTGCAGTCTTGCACTGGCGAAACTCCGCACCGATATCCGCGGAGACCTGTCAACCAACAATTCCGTGGGCATGGCCCAGAAGCTTCTCCTGTTTTGGCGCAAACCTGCCCGCCGCTGCTGGTGGGAGGGTATTGAGCTGGACGACGTCGAGGGCGTCGAGGGGCCAGTAAAGGTCTGGATCCGGCGTGTGTGGACTTTGGAAATGGTAAGACCCCAATCCTCACTTAAAACTCTTTGTAGCTAATCCCATCGCAGAGTGTTATTGGGCTCCGCTGATTTTTTTCCCTTTTCTTCTTTTCCTTGCATGTGCGATTATCATTCCCCCGGCCTTGTGCCTCGAAGTTCCGACTGTTATCTTTCTCTTCATAAAGTTGCATTTAAATATGGCTGCAACAAATGTTCAGCTTTTCATCTTACCGACAGCAGCGCTGGCGTATTCAAGCAGTTTGGGTGTCCTCATTCCTTTCGGTGTATCCATTTTCTAGTCTGGTCGGTAAATTTTTTTCTTGGACATCAGTTAGTTTGGCTGTGAAGATTGAATATATAGTGCAGATCTAGTTGGCAATTGTAGCCTTTCCCTCACATTCTGTTTTCTTGTTTTGGATTTAAGTCTTGTATTCATACGATAATGAGCCTAATCCACTATGTAGTTATGGCCAAGAAAAATGAGCAAAGGATAGTCCTATTGATGATTTTTATTGTCTATTAATACGCCTATTGATGCCTCCGTTGTTTTACTACAATGATTTCCAGGCGTGCTGGCCTGAGGCACTAATCACATGATGCCCTCCCTGGAATGGGACTAGCGTCGAATTGGGCAAAGTCGCGCAGAATATCGATCTCAGAGCCAATCTCTCCAACTGGATCATATCTGGATGCCTTTGACGCGATATTTCTTTTTGTCACACATTACTTTATGCTGTCGGCATTATACAAGTACTCATTGTTAGCTTCTTCGCGCTTGGACCATTCCCAATTGTGCCTCACTGCAGTGATCAGCCCTTCGAACATTGAGCCGATCAAAACAATCGCAAGCTCTCTCTTCTCTCGCTCATACCCTCGAAGGGGCATGTTATTGTGCAATTGAATCGCCAACATGTCCCCTCTCCGAGGCTATATCAGTTCCTACCCCCCGCGCATGCGCCAGTATGGAAACGCGTTGCTCACACCTGTCAATCCTCCGTCACAGACCGGCCCGACTCCGCGCACCACGAAGCGTGGAACCACAGCCATCAACTATGCAGAAGATGGCTTTGATGACGAGGATTTTGATGAGACCGATGGGCCCCGGCGACCGACTGGACTGAGGAGTCTTCGGCGCGAAGAATCCGCTACCGACAAGTTGGTGCCCTACTCAGAGAAGCTGGGCAAAGAAGTGCATGCGCCGGTGGAGGTGCAAGGCCTCTTTCGCGAGTGGATGATCAAGAGAATGTTGCGACCAGCGTATGTTCCCCATTGCCAGGACTGATGTGGCCGTTAATGAGAGCGGCCTGTGTCTTCCCTGTCTATCCTTAAATCTGGCTAACATACAGCGTGGTGATTCTAGGTGTGCCGATCAACTGCAGATTCAAGCGCAACTCCCCTTGACACTCGTTCCAATCCGAATTGACGTCGAAGTCCCCGCTCATCAACCCCTCGAACCATTCCCTTTCCCACGCACAGCCGTGGACCCTAGCATCAACCAGACTCTTCCTGCGTATCGCAGACCTGAACCATTACCCCCGTTCCGCATTAAGGATACCTTCTTATGGAACCTGCACGAATCACTCTCAACGCCCGAAGAATTTGCTATCGGATTTGTTCGCGATCTTGATCTCCCAAATCCTCAAGCCACGACCATGACCATCAGCAACCAGATCCGGCAACAGCTGGAGGAATACGCTGGCGTCGCTCTCCACCCGCTCTTCCAGAGCACAGATGCAGGCACGCTGCCTAGTGTTCCGCCACAGACTGAACTGTCAAGAGACACGCCGACGACACCAGCTGCTGCCAACGTTGCGACACCTGACAGCCGGCCCAATGTGACGTCCACTGTGACCGTGACCAAGGAAGCGCTGGTAAATGACAGCCTTTTGAACCCAGATGACGCCTATCGGTGCTTGATCACCCTCAACATCAACCTGCAAAACAAGCTTTTCACAGACAAATTCGAATGGTCTCTACTACACCCACCTGGAATGGCTGAAGAGTTCGCGCGTATTACCTGCGCAGATCTCAGTCTTGGTGGTGAATGGGTCAGTGCGATTGCACATGCCATCTACGAGGCAGTTTTGAAGTTCAAAAAGGAAGTCTGCGAAAGCGGTGCTCTTATCAGCGGCATCAACGGCTACGGCAACGAAATTGAGAATTTGGCAGCCAACGGCGTGGAGGCTGGTTGGCGTTACGACCCTGAAACAATTTGTGATGAGTGGCAACCTCAGGTCGAGACGCTGTCTAAGGAAGAAATCGAACGGAGAGAAGGTGACCGTGAGCGTCAGATCCGACGTCTGCGCCGAGAAACAGCTAGGTTCTCTTCAACCACGGGCATCACACCTGAGATATCAAGGCAGAACAGTGGCAATTACTTCGAGGTAGATAGTGAGACTCCGCTCGGACGTGGAGAAAGGAATAAGCGCAAGCGCCGATTCCGTAGCTTGAGCCCTACAGGCAGAAGTGGCACTCCTGGTGGCCGGGGGACTCCTGACACCGGGTCAGGCGCTGGGTACGGTGGCGGTGGTGGCACGCTTTCTGAATGGTATGTGGCTGCTAGGCACATCAACGTCTTACTGGAATATTCACTAACGAACTCTGCCTACAGGGAACGCCAAAGCTGGCGATGCAAGAACTGTGCGGTATGGGGCACAGCAGTTTGGGCTGTGCGCGATGGCCCAGATGGCCCACGGGTAAGTGGTCGCTCTAGAATGTACTGCAAGCTGTTTCTAACCATCCTGTCCAGACACTCTGCCACAACTGTGGCCTGCTCTATGAGCGGGATAAGGTTGCACCGGAATGGTCCAAGGATCTTCATCGACACGACGTTCCCGTCGGCCGATACGGCTAAATCATCAACGGAATCTTTCCTTACCTTAATGTACTATCTTAAGCTTCAATGACCTACCTCACGCCACCTATTTCTCCGTGTCCTTCTCAACCATTTAATCCGCTGTTGTTGCACCTTTCTTTTTACCGATCTCTGCGCCACGGCGCATGGCCTTCTGTTATGCTCCAGGCAGATGATCTGCTGTCAATTTTCATTCACAAAATCTGGGGGCGCTATTATAATTGCGAATCACCACCTTTTTCTCAATCGACGTCTTTCTTGCCTTCGATGCATGTTGTATCTTTCTGTGGGCGACTAGAAGGCAAAGAGCCACTAGGAACTAGAGTAGACATCTAATGAGATTACACAATGATACGCTCATCCTACTTTGAGGTCCACGCACCTTCCTGGAATGGAAAGTTCCCTACTTTCCTATTTTGTCTGCCTCGTGACTTGAAAAACAAATGATCTTGATACAATTTCCTCACTTCTCACTTCCATTTACCTACATACATATGTAGCTATTTGATATTTTGGAATGGCCTATTCATTTGCTTGTAACCAGGCACCTTCCTTACATGCCTACCTAGGTATAGCCACCTTCAAGGAACTTCAGGATATGGTCAAAGCCTTCGGGTTCCTTAACCCAATGGCCGTCACACTCTGCGCCAGTAAACTCCTGCCAGTCCACGCGTCCCATAATCCTCCGTAAAACTTGACATGCCTGCCGTCCAAGCTCCACAGATACCCATGGATCGTCTGATCCATGACTTAGAAACACAGGCGTAGATAAACCCTTACCCTTACTTTCAGGCTGGTTAGAGCGAGATATCTCGGCAATTTCATCAAAGTAGAACGCAGATATTAGAGTCTGTGCCTGAGAGCTGCTAGGAGTAAGGGATGGATCGGATAGTAACTGCTCTAGCTGCTGCACGAATGGCAGCCAACCACAAAATCCTAGTAGACCACCTAGTGGTACTCGGATCCGGCCCGTCGCAGTTGCAGCTAAGAACGCCCACAAGGCGGTTGCCATCCCCTGGCTCATGCCTCCAAGATAGATGTGGGAAAATCGCCGATCTAACAGTCGAGCTTCATCCTCGAGAATATTGAGAATGTGTAAGACTGACTCTTTTATTCCGTCTTTCTGTAGTTCCTGTCGTTCGTGGATATTGTCCAAGGAGTAGGCGTCGAACCAGGCGCACATCTTCTCTTCGAATGTAGTGCTCCATCGGTCGCGTGAGGTTGGAAAGACCCAGCGATAGGAGGGTAGACAGGAGGGTAGGTTTTTGCCCTTTGAGGTTGAAGATGAGAAAAGCTCTTCGGCGAACTCAGGGCCATCACTGCCACGACCATGTAGAAGGATAACCGTGTGGGTATGGGTGTGGGGGACTTGGGGATGGTGGATGTGAGGTCTAGGGAACTCCATACTTCCTGGCTGTTCTTTTCTTTTCTTGATACTGATCTAGGAGAGGTAACCAATCTCAGAATTTGTTTTGGGCAACCTCGTAGTCAGCGGTCAGCGGTCAGCGGTCAGACCTGGAGCGGTGCGTGTTCTAAACAACCTGAATTACTACATTTCTACAATCTAACTAGAAGATCAGGCACACGGTGGTCTAGAATTCTAACAACCTGTCTTGTCTGCGTGTGTATTTAGACATATAATTACTGATCCTTCGTTTGGGTTGGGTGACAACTTATACCATCTGCTTCCAGAGACAGTGCGGTACAACTATGAAATGAGTGTGTCTATAGTAGACTCTGATAGGTTTACACTTTCGAGAAAGGCCATTTCCAGTTGCGAATATGTTCGGGATCAACCCCATTATCAAAAGCCTCGGACTTGCCAGCAAGCTGTTCATTGTACAGCTTCTCTCTCACGCCAGCTGCCGTGTTCCCAAGAGATTGAACCAAATCAATGGCAGTCATAGCGAGACTGTATCGATCGGTCTCATTGCGCATAGCCAGTTCAAATGGGGTGTCAATGTTGCCCTTCTCTTTGTACCCTCTCACATGCAGGTTATGTTGACCAGGTCGCTTGTACGTGAGTCGGTGAATGAGCCAAGGGTAGGAGTGGAAGTTGAATATGATGGGCTTGTCGGTGGTGAAAATGGACTTCCATCTCTTATCGGACATTCCGTGAGGATGGTGAATGGCAGAAATCAGTCGGAATAGATCCACCACATTAACAAAACGGACTTTGAGCTGCGGGAGATGTTCACGTAGTAGTGCGGTCGCGGCTAGGGCTTCGTGTGTTGAAACATCACCGCAGGATGCGATCACAATATCCGGCTCTGCTCCTTGGTCGTTGCTCGCCCAGTCCCAGATTCCGAGACCCTTGGTGCAGTGCGCGACGGCTGCATCCATGTCCAGGAACTGGATGTGCTCTTGTTTATCCGCGACGATCACATTCACGTAGTTGACACTACGGAGACAGTGGTCCATCACAGATAGGAGAGTGTTGCCATCGGGCGGGAGATAGATGCGAACCACCTCGGGGCTCTTGTTAGCCACCACATCGAGGAATCCGGGGTCCTGGTGGGTGAAGCCATTGTGGTCTTGTCTCCAAACAGTAGCGGTGATAAGGATGTTAAGAGACGAGACTCGGGCTCTCCACTCTACCTCAAGGCACTTCTCGATCCACTTGCAATGCTGATTCACCATAGAATCAATGACGTGGATGAAAGGCTCATAGCTGTTTAGCAGTCCGTGCCGCCCAGAAAGGATGTAGCCTTCCAGCCATCCCTCACAGGTATGTTCACTGAGGATCTCCATCACGCGGCCATCGGGAGATAGATTTCCTCCATCTTTATCTTCTTCGAAGTAGTCCCCCATCCAGACTTTCTTGCCTGCTTTGTACACCTCAGAAAGCTTGTTAGATTCAGTCTCATCGGGGCCAAAGAGCCGGAAGTTGTGCATGTTCTGGGCCACTACATCCCGAAGGAATTTCGCCATGTTGGCCATGCCTCCCTTGATTGTCAGCCCAGGATCAATATCCTTAAACCCGTACTCTCGGAAATCGGGAATATGGAGCGGCCGGCGCAGAAGACCTCCATTACCAACAGGGTTGGCGCTTATCCGCGAGTTACCCGTGGGCGCGAGTTCCTTCAGTTCCGGAATCAATGTACCATTCTTGTCGAAGAGCTCTTCTGGCTTGTAGGCCCTCATCCATGTTTCCAACACCTTAAGATGAGAGGGGTTAGTGCGGACATCAGTGATAGGAATTTGATGCGCGCGCCAAAATCCCTCGAGAAGATGGCCATCAACCTCCCGTGGAGCCGACCATCCCTTGGGTGTGCGTAGAATGATTATTGGCCAGTGGGGTCGGAACGAGGTCTTTGTCTCTCTGGCTTTCTTCTGATGCTCCTTGATCTCCGTGACACATTGCTCGAGTGTAACCGCCATGGCTTGATGCATGCTGTCCAATTCACTTCCCTCCACAAAGTATGGTTTCCATCCATAGCCAACGAGCAAGGAAGAAAGTTCGTCGTGGCTGATTCGTGCAAGTACCGTCGGGTTGTTGATCTTGTATCCGTTGAGATGGAGAACGGGCAGAACTACTCCGTCCTTGATCGGGTTCAGGAACTTTGTGCTGTGCCAGCTGGTTGCAAGTGGGCCGGTCTCAGACTCGCCGTCTCCAACCATGGTCAAAGTGATGAGATTAGGGTTGTCAAAGACCGAGCCAAAGGCATGCGACAGTGAATATCCCAGCTCACCTCCCTCGTGAATACTTCCAGGTGTCTCGGGGGTTGCGTGGCTTCCAATCCCACCAGGAAAAGAGAATTGTTTGAAGAACTTCGTCATGCCCTCTGTATCCTCGCCTTTATCTGGGTAGACTTCCGAGTAGACACCCTCAAGATAAGATTGTGAGATGATTCCGGGGGCACCATGTCCGGGGCCTGAAACGAAAAGAACATCGAGGTCGTACTTCTTGATGAGACGGTTCATGTGCATCCAGGTGAAAGATTGCCCGGCATCAGAACCCCAATGACCCAAGAGCCGAGCTTTGAGATGCTCTAGCTTGAGAGGTTCCCTGAGGAGTGGGTTGTCGCGAAGATAAAGCATACCCAAACATAGGTACATGCTGGCACGAAACCAGGCATTCATCTTACGGACTGTCTCGGCGTCGAGAGGCTTCCCTTCCACTGTTGAACGAGCCTCTCCATAGGCGGAGATGCTCTTTTCGCCTGCCTTTGATGCCATGCTGTGTATCCCTGTTGCACAATACGCAGGGAAACCAATCCCTCTGTTTGGGGACTCCAGGGATCCGACAAAGATATACGGTTTGTACACTGCAGTTGTAGATGCTAAGATGTAATAAAGTTCACGATGAAGAAAGAAAATGATTTCAAGTAAGGGCTCTAGATATTTTTGTTAATTATAAATGGCAAACTTATTGCCTGAGAAGTCAATGACGTGTGGTTTGTTGCTATCTGCGGATGGATAATCCTGGAAGCAATAAGCATGAATCATGACCTACTATGTGTGCAAGATAATGTTATCATTGTTAATATTCATAATTCCACATAAGATAGATCAGCCATACCGTGAGGTTGCGCTGTAAAAGGGTGGAAGTAATGTAGCAGAGTCTAAGTGTCATTGAGTGCGACCTCTATGAATGCCTGGACTGTCCTATATATATGACCGGATAATCCCCTGGAATATTATTCCTCCGATCAGATAACCTTTCTCGGCCCAGCTTCTGCTTTTGACCCAGAGTAGTACATCTCACTTCCCATATCTCTTCTCCGAAGCTCAAAAAGCAACCAAAAGTCCAACAGCAGAAGACAAAGGCGAAAATATAGAAGAAAAGGCAGAACACATCTTTCGGCAAATTAGATCAAACTTTGCCCTGACGCGAGATTTGGGTCAAGATGAGGAAAGTCTCCAACCGGATGAAGCCTTGCAGTTTGGAAGGGCGCGGTCAATTGTGCCGGGGTCGCGGTAGGAAGAGTCCTCTGACCCTGTGGTATCCCAGGGTTATAGTTAAAAACCCAAAGACGCATGGACTGATCAGGACAAGTTCCAGTGTAAAACCTGTGTCGTAGCCATGACCCAGTCAAACGGTCAGCGCCGGCCCTCGTTGCTTGACCACTCCGGATGGAAGCCGGTATCGCCTCCCACTTGGAAATCCAACTACCTTCATCCACACTCCACATGTTGACTTCTAATTCTCTATATAGCGAGGGGACCCGCCTGTCATCTGAGGTATAGTGAACTCCAACACCAAGGCATCGGGGCAAGGGGTATGTCTTGTTATCCTGAAGAATGCTGATGTCGTCTTCAAATATGCTCATATGCGTAGACCCGGTGTCGTCCATGAACGGGAATTCGAAGCTCGATATCCTTTTTCCTGCAACCGACGGAGCCTGTGGGATCCGAAGGCTAAGCCGCACCTGAAGAAGATTATTAGAAATAGCGCTTAACGAAGTGGCCAACAGGGCAATTGAGAGGGAAATAACTACCATTGTGGCATTGATACGCGGATCCGGTAGGCATGCCATCGAAGTCTTGCTCATGCCAGGCCCAGGCCCGAGAATCTAAATACTTGCTTTTAGTATGTATTGAATCAAAGCGCTTTTGGCAAGACTTACACCTTCGACCCAGAACCCCTCGTGTCCCTGACATTTGTCATGAATGTAGCGGTATTCACCCCAGTTGAAAGGTCTCGGCAGGCAGAGCTGAACTCCAGCATGCCAGTAGGTGACAAAGCCCGGATGCCAATCAAATTCCCCTGATCGATATTGTGCAATAATGGCTTTTACTGTATCGACCATCTTGTGTTCGTCGTTTGCCGCTACGAGCCAATTCAACGTAAATTTGAGATCATCTAGGCGCTGTACAACGGGCCAACTTAAACCTGGCTCTGTAGCCATCAGCGCACTGGGTAGAAGGAAGCAAGTTAGTCTCTATTTAGAAATCTGCCTGCCCAGTGTAGTTATAGGATGACTCACTCGCGCTCCATCTGTTTTGCCATAAATTCTTTCATTTTATGTTGATAGACATGAGGCATTATATTCTCTGCGATCCGCTCAAGACACCTTTCGATCTGAGCTTCGCAGTCACTGCATAGCAAAGGTCAACTACCAAGTATAGGAATGAATTAGCCAGAGCAGGTAGAACTTACTCGGGCATCAGGTCAGGCTCCTCTGGGTTCCAGCCTTGAGGTGCATTTTCCCGCTCTGTGATAACGCCTTTCACTTTTGGCCATTTCTGTTTCTTGGGCATTTGTTGCCTAAGCTTCTTCCTTCTTTTCGAATAATCAGTGTTGAGATCGGCTGCAAGAAGTGCCTCGTCCAGGACTTGCGGGATTTCCTTTTTTGTCCTCTTCTTTGGATGGGTTGCCTCTGCCTCTCCATTCAAGCTATCTTTCTTGCGTTTTCCGTCGGGCTTCTTCGGCGCACCTTTACCGCGAGAGAAAATAGGCTTTGGAGGCATCTTGCAACAGAGAAGATAGTCACGACCGAGGTGGTGCTTTCTCTAGGTAACTAGAAAATCAATTATTGAGCATGTACGAATGATAAATATGAAGGACAGAATCTCGAAGGTATTTGTATTCTAAGAATTTTGTCCACGCCGAACCCGTCGCACCGGATGGAGGGCTCCGTGATGCGATGTCAAAGAAAGCTTGAAGGTCGTAGACAAGATGGAACAAAGATGGCCGAGCATGCTCTTGAATGAACGTCGACTCTCCTTTTCATGCTGTTCATTCAACATAGCCTTTGAAACGCCTCATTTGGTGTGTCCCTGCAAAAGCGTACTCTCAGTGTATCTGACTTCGAGGACTCCTCCAATATGCTTTTGGCTTATTCCTTTGATCTTTGACAAGATTTGTGCTGCTTGTTCGGGCTCCGTCTGGGAAATCCTCCTCCGATAGACCTGATGTGAACGGGCTTTGAAGCGGCTGGCTTCGTCAACCAAAGATTTGTGGATTCAACCCCAAAGGTCCAGAGTCTTCAAATGGGTCACTTTGGAGCCATGAAAGACACCGGTTAACTACATCTTCCTCAGATCCCTGTAGCCATGAGAATGAGAGCCGAAAATAGACTGTGGCGTGACAGGATATATGTCTTAGGGCGAGAAAGCGTGGGAGTTGGAGAGCCGTGGAGGGAAACAAAGAAGACCTGACTCTTGCCATGTCTATTTTTACATAATCCACTGCCTTTACACGGCCCCAAATATTACCCAGTCCTCTTTATTACGTAGTTTTTATCGTGGAATTGGTAGATAATGTGATAAGCAAGCATCCTTTCGCCAGATAGTCGAATCTCTGGGGCCTACTCTAGGCATCAAGATGGGTAAACCCAAGGCGACCGCACTCCCGCTCCCCAATTCCGAGCAGTTCTATCCGAATTTCCAGGCTTAGAGAAGAAGAAAAGCGCCCATTTACGAACTGATATTAGATATATTTTCGACGGGAATGCTCTATTCTTGACTGCAACCGAGGCCGCCAGGAGTCATGCTCCTGCGTCGCATTTTGCCGGTGGAGGCATTATTGTCGCTATTGGATACCCATTGAACACAGAGCTCTATGATATGCGACGACGAACCCTTAATTTATCTCCGCCAACAGAAACTCAATTTCCAGACCTGGAGTCGCCGATGTATTCCTTGACTTCATTCGAAGTTCAGTTCGATCGGGGTCAAGGCCCGGTTTCCACTAGTCTCTGTCTCCAGAGAAGCACCCTACGGCCATTCGTATAGGGGATTGCATGCACTACACGCGTCATTTACACGCCCCAGATCATTTGATTGTTATATATCCAGTAGTCCCTCGATCTGGTGGAATAAAAAGTTCATTTTGCGGGAGCCTTTGGGCGATAAATTGCCTTCGCTCATGGTCCTCTAGGGCTCAGTCGAGCAAAATCCTTGCTAGTGGGATAATAAACCTCTCGAAAAATATGAATCAAGAAAGCAAATAGCCTCAGATTTCAGAATGTCTGACAATGCTCTCGATCTCTACGAGATGTTACGAGGTTACGAATAGTCGCATACTGTCCTATCTAAGGAGTTTGATAGGGAAGAAAACGCAAGTGTAATGCCATATTAGACAAATCGGAGTTTAACGATATCTTTAAAGATTGGCCTCTATATCAGTTATAGAGAAATTTCGTGAATCGGAAACGAAACCTTCATATAGATAGAACGGTGATTGATAAAACAGGAATAAGTTCTCTAAATTATTTCCGTTGCTAACAAATTTTCTATCTATATACTAATAAAGGTTAGTAATCTATCTACTCTAGGCTAGGTAAATTAGGTGCTTATTAACCTACTTTCTAGATCTATAGCTTCGCTATCTTTATTAATACTAGCCCTTAGTATAAAGAGCTATTTCTTAACCTATAAGAGAATAAACCGAAGCTTATACCTATATAAGATATTAAAATCTGTTAGAACTTAACTTATCTAATACTATACTAAGTAAGTTATCTCTCTAAAATATTTAATAAGTATTACTTAGTCTATAGCTAGCCTTAATTTTAGCTAAATAGAGAGGAGTAGCGGTAGGTTAACTACTTACTCTATATTATAAAGCTATTTTATATATAGATAGCTAGGCTCTTAAAGATTAAGGATATAACGATCTACTTAGTCTTTATAGTATATAATATACTCTTCTATTATTTTAAAGACGTATATCGTTTACTTACTCGAAAGAAAGTACTCTAGAAGTAGTAATAGATACTCTAGAAAATAGTTAGAGGAAGCTCTTAGAATACTATACGTAGACTAAGAGTACCTATAGTTATCTTTATATAATAGGAGCTATTCTAGCTCCCTAGTATAAGCTAGCCTATTTTAAAAATAATAACTAGGCTAATAATAATTATCTCTAGTACCGAGTGTATAAAGCCTCCTTATATACCTACCTTAAGAAGTACTCCTAATATAGGCCTACCGTATAGATATCTAATAAAGATAAGGCCTATTAAAAAAGCGGAGGGCTAGGAGACCTATTTACCTAGGCTAAGCCTAAGGCACCTATCTAAGAAAGTAACGGCTAGTAGGATAAGCTAAAAGAGTACCTTAACTATCGTACGTATACTATATCGCCCTTACCCCCTTACCGTCCGTATACTAACCACCCCCGCCCTAGGATCGGATAAATAGGATCCTTATTAATTCTAGAGACTTTATAAGAGAGACTTCCTAACCCTTATAGCACTTATATAAGACGTTTTCTCTATCCCTACTACTAGTGTAGGCGTAGAACGATTATTTAGCTTAGCGTATAATATCTACTACTATAGACGTAGGTTACTATATATAACCACTATCTAAGATCTTATAATAGTACGTTATATAACACGCTTTAATACTTAGTTATTATAGACATGCTAGCTGCCAATCGATAGCGACCCTATATATAACACGGACGGGCCGCCGAGATCCAATTAACCAGGTCTTACCCGTCCACACCGCCTTACCGGTCCTAGGAGATGGTTTTTTAGGGGGAAAGATCACACCGCCTTTATAGTCAAATCACGTGACCATATAGGTAGTAGAATAGTAGATAGTAGATTAGTAGAAAGTGCTAAGGCACTTCTACTATTCTACTATCTACCTATCTATATAGGAAGAACCTAGGGATATATAAGGACACTTATTTATATATCTAGTTTAGTTCTTCGTCTTTAATTATATATTATTACTAGCGTTTACCTTTAGATTACTAGTGTGACTTCTTACTTAATTATAACTTAATAACACCTATTAGTTAGCTAATACTTCGGTATAGACCTACTAAGCGCTCTACCTAGTATCGTTCCTCGATACCCTTAAAAGGACCTAACCTATAGTAAGGCCTATTAGTAATAGGACGGTTAAGAGATAGATCGTTAATGTTAGAAGATTAGAGATCCCTTATAAGTATAACCTATAATCTACTAACCCTAACTATAACTAGTTTATAGTATATAATATATTAAAGACTATCTTAAATTAAGTATTTAAGTTATAATAATCGATATAGCTAGTAATAATACTACTAGTAGTAATATCTCTATATAAGATAACTAGCTATCCCCTTAGTAGATAGCTAAGATAATCTAGTAACTATAGGAGTAAATTACGACTTTAGAGATATAACGCCCTACTAGAACGGTAAAGATTCTATAATCTAAGTTCTTTAATAGAATACGATCTAAGCTTTAATTATTCCTTACTTAGTTAGATACTAATCTACGCCTTAACTATTCTAAGCTACTAATAAAGGCCGATAAGATTATTTACGCCTCTACCTTCCTCTAGGGCCTAGCCTTCGACTAGCTTAAGCTATTCTTTCGGGAGTACTAGAAGGAAGAGGATCTAGATATATAGAGTAATTTTACTATAGTAGTCTTTAATAGCTATAATAAATTTAAGAAATATATTAAGACTATCTTTAAAGATATTAATAAAAAGCGAATAGCTAAATAACGCCTTTAATATCTATACTAAACTACTTTAATAAGCGTATACGCTACTAAATTCTAGTAAATTATCTTATATTTAGCCTAGGATAAAGATTATTTTATTTTAGTCTTTAAAGATAGGCTTAAAGAGTATATTAAAAATAAACTAGCCTAAGATAATCGGCTAGATACCTTTAATAAGATTATTAGTATTATAGTTAAGATCGATAACTATATATATAACTATAAAATATAATATTATAAGATAAGATAATAGAGGACTAGTAGATAGCGACTACCTACTCTATATCGCTAGAATAATAGGCGACTAAGATAGTAATAACCCCTACTATAACTAATAAGATATACTAATCTATATAGCCTAATACTAATAGAATTTAATATTATATAAGAAAAATAAGATAAGCGCTAAAAGAAGAACCTTTACTTTATATATAGGAAACTAGGATATCGCGCGAGAGAATATAAATAGTAAAAGGTACTATATAGTAAAAAGTAATAGCTATAGATAATATATAAAGAACTATATACGATAAGTAAAGATCTAGAGAATAACCTATAGACGGTCTTTAAAGATAAGCTCTTTAATAAGCTTATAGGTAAGTAGGAAAGAAGCCGCGCTAAAGATAGTATATTAGCTAGCGAGTACTATAGATAATACGCTAATAAAATCGATTATCTAGATATCGATTAGGACACTATAGAGAGCTAGGAATAGATATAATATATCCTTTATAGGTTAAACTACCCCTAAGAAGGTAATAACTCTTAAGAATAAGTAATCCCTAAAATACCTTAAGAAAGTCTAGACTATCGGCTAGAGACCGGCGATAAAGGGGCTAATAAGAATAAGCTTATAGGATATCTAGAGAATTAGATATAGACCTATAGGTTAGACTAATACCTTATTAATATAATTAAAGAAGGCGAAGACTTAATAAGATATCTATATAAAGATTCTATTTATATATATAAAGGATATATATAATACCTAGGATATAGTAGGATAGCTATTATAAGATACTATAATAAAATATATACTATCTATAGGTAAAGTAAGCTAGACTATAGTATTAAACCTAGACTACTAAAATAGATAAAGAAGCTAAAATAGAAGTAAGAGTACTAAAGAATATAGTATAATAAACGATAGCTATATAACTATAAAAACTAGCCTATTAACTAGTTAGTATACTAACCTAGATTATAGCTAGCTATTATATTACTAGAGGAATATATTAAGATATATATAATACTAATAGATAAGATATATACTCTTATCGACTATAGCGCTACTAATAACTTTATAAGTCTAAAGTTCTAGGAAGAATAGTATATTTTAACTAAGTAACTATTATATATTATTCTAGTTTCCGGATTAGATAGAGAAATACTTTTAAAAGAAGTATAAAAAGAAACTATTAATATACTAATAAATATCTATAATTAGCTAGAAATAATAAAGTTTAATATTCTAAAGATTAAAAGATATAATATTATTTTAGATATTCTATAGCTTAGGAAGTATAATCTAAAGATCGACTAGCGTATAGAGAGAATACGCTTTAATAAATATAACTATAAAAAATAGTTTAATAACTATTAGACTTATTAGAAGAAATTAATCTAAAGGGATACTAATAGAAATTAATATTCTAGAGATAGGAATAGGCGATTAATAATAGGTATCGCCCTAGATATAATAAAATAAATACCTAATATATCTAACTAAGAACTAGTAGACTATATACTTATTAAATATAAAAAAACGCTATATATAACTAGTAATAAACCTTAGATTCTAAATAAATACTAAAAGTTTAAAGATATATTTATAATACTAGCCGATAAAGTATTATCTAAATATAAGACCTTTAATAATAAGATTAATATTAAAGAAAGTATAGAACTTATATTTAAGTCTATCTATATACTCTTATTAAAGGAATTAGAAATACTTAAAGAGTATATTAATAAAAACCTATAGAAAGATTATATCTAAGCTTTAAAATTATTAGTCGGATATCTAATTATCTTTATACTAAAAAAGGATCTAAGCCTATAGCTTTATATAGACTATTAATATCTAAATTTAATTACTATTAAAGATAAATATCTACTATCTTTAATCTATAAGATCTAAGATTAAATTTAGAGAATAAAATACTTTTTAAAGTATAATATTACTAATATATATTACTATATTCGGATTAAGCTAGATTATAAATAAAAAATAGTATTTAGAACTAAATATAGATACTATAAATATTTAGTTATACTATTTAG